TCTTCATACTTGATGGATATCAAATCGTTCGAATGAAGTCTAGTCAAACTGAAATAGGTAGAATTACGATTTGTCAATGAACTCTGGGAAATGTCAGGAGAAGACATTTGTAAACGACTTGTGTGTCTATTAATTTTATATTTTTAGAGTGCTTCAAGTATTCAAGCCTAGTGAGCGTTGCGCTTTTTCTTCGACAAATCCTTTCCTGTCGGTGATTGAGGCAGTGATGGTGAGGTGCGATAATCCCAGGGCAATATTAGGAATGGCAACTATACCAAACGTCTCCTTTTCATAGATTTTGTGATCTGATGTTCTGAATCATCGTCTTCAATCAATCGTCGACAGAAGATCCTTAGAGGGTGTGGAGTCGTTCTGAAATAATTTCTTAGAGCTTCCGAGTAGGCGTTAAGCAGTTGAACTATAGACTGTAAAAGAAAACTCACGGTTTGACTTCTTTGGGAGTCTCCGAACAGTCATCACTATCGAAGTTAAGGCGAAGTCTGAAAACTCACATGTAGAGCAACTTCGGGGGATGTGGGTCTAACTTAGTGTTCTATTTTTTTGAAATTCAACTCGAAGTTCACACTCATGTCTTGTAAATTCCATAGAATAGGGAAAATTTCATTGGAAAGTTTATGAATTTTTTTAAAATTAAGATTCAGCCCTTCTTATGAGGGCACTCACAAAAATTGAACTGGCTGTCAATTACCTACCTTACATTCTTTATTGCGGTCATATGAAGGCGACTTCTTACGTTATCCTCTTCTGAAATGTTGTGATTTATATGCTTGTTTGTGTTTTTAATCACTACTAATCATCCATAAATTCCATAGATTTTATAAATTATCGTGAGTTTATTTTGTAATCAATTTGAGAGACTAACCTTCTTCTGAATCGATATCCCAATCCTTGTCTTCGGTGCCAAGGTGACGATTCATTCTTGGAACCTGAATAGTGCTAGCTATATCGATATAGTTAGGATTATTATTCGCGGTATTTGCATAAAAACAGCGTAGTGATAGAACAAGTGATAAAAATTTAATCTACTTTGCACCAAATAATCTTTCATTCAGAAAGTGATGAGTTCAGAGAAACTCGCTTTCGCTTTTTCTGTGGGAAAAACCAAACCACGCTGAGACGTAAAAGACTTCGCAAACCCGACAGAATTCCATTACATACCTCCATTTTTCTGAAGGAAGCAGTGTGTAGTTGGAG